GCCAGGTGTCTCGTACAATCAAACAGTCACCACGTCATCCGCGTAACTCCCCCCCCAAGCCAGGCCTCGCCTCTCGCCCAGGGCAATCGAGGGTGGGTGCGGGAGGGATAACCCACAATAGTGGAACCACAAGACGGCGAACCACAGGGGCGGGGTGGGGAAGGATAATCAACACAGGGAACCACCGGGCCCCTTCCCTTCCCCTCTCTTCGAGCACAAATGAGAATGTTGTGGGCAATGATGTTGATGTGCTAGTCCCAGTGTGGCTATTGGTGGTACCTTTGCTCTTATGTTGCTCTGGGCTTCGGCACCGCATGTTCATCGCTTTATCTAGTTGAAAACCGTGCTTGGCTTGTGATGTTCTTGCGAAAACCATATCGACCGTTGTCATTCCAAGCCAAGTTTCGGTTGGGTTCGCTACAAATAAGCTTGAGCACGTGTTTGAATTGTTTTCATTCGGGACTTTTGAGCAAGGGACCTGATGAGAGTGCGGATGGGGATCATGAGCACCATCTTCGTCATTCACATCCTACGGTCCAAACCCTCAGCAACCGGACGCATAGCCATGGACGGGGGCGCAGCCGACCGCAACCACAGGGGGGAGGGGCAGGGGGGAACCCACACCACAGGGAACCACAGGGGGGAAGGGGGGGATACCATGGGGTGGGTGGGGGAGGGGGGGGGCCTAGCAGCGCTGCACCATATATACATTGATTGGCCTTAAGCTACCTGATACACATGTCTTTCACAATTTGGTCCTGAATTCCAGCAGTGTTTTTTGGGGCATTGGACTGCGGAAGTGTTGCAGGGATGGCCTAGGCATCGAATAGTTGCTGTCATGGGTTTAGGTGAAGGGCTTCAGAGTCTAAAGTTCAGGGTTTCAGTACGATGTTCATGTCTTGGACAGGAGTTCATTGTCAACTGAAGTCCGTTCTGCGGTGGTGGGGGTCCTGCACTTTGAGAGATGCTACCACTTTTCAACGACGGAGTTGTCTGATCCTGCACGTTTCACATGTATGTGATATCCGTTATTGTCAGCATCATCATCAGTGCCAGCAGCGTCACTATCATCAGTGTCGCCACAGCATCCGCCATCACCGTCATCATTATCATCGCCATCGTCATCATCGGAATCATCGTCGTCGCCATCATAATCATCGCCACCTTCAGCAGCAGCAACAGCAGCAGCAGCAGAGGCAGCGGCAACAGCAGCAACGGCAGCAACAGCAGCAGCAGCAACAGCACCGCTATCACGAAGTGTGACGACCGTTCTTGCTACGGCCAGGGCTGTTGTCACTACAGCCACAGCATGGGGACGATCACTCCACCGCCATCACCATCACCGCCACCACCGTCACAGCCACCGTCACCGCCACCGTCACCGTCACCGGCACCACCTCCGCTGCGCCGCCACCGCCACCATCCCTTCACCAGCATCGCCAAGACCAAGACGGCCGTTTGCAAGACGATTTCTCACACTCCGTTGTTGCCCGAGCAGCTTGAGCAGCAATGAAATGCTTACGGCTCTGGGTTGTTGCTGAGCCAGAATCTGGTTGCTTCCTTCTGGGTGGTTTTGCCTTCCATGCCTTTGCCAAGTTTTCCGCGCATGCGCTGCAGCCATCGCTTCCCGCGCTGGGGCTGGCGCGCCGAATGAGACACTTGGGCGAAAAGTTCCCAATGCTGAAACTTTTGTGAGCATCAACCCTGTTGAGGGCTTTTTGGGTTTGAGTAATTACACAGTGTAGCTCTGGTTTCAGCGACGTGTCTTTGCAACCCTAAACTGAAAAGGCTATACCCGGCTTTCACGAGTACTGTAGTACTAGTACTAGTACTGCTACTATTACTACTACTACTACTACTACTACTCCTCCTGCTGCTGCTGCTGCTACTACTACTACCATATACTACTTCCACTACTACTCCTGCTGCTGCTGCTGCTGCTTGTGCTCCTACTGCTGCTACTACTGCTACTTCTATTATCAGTGTTATTCTTCAATATCATGATGATGTTTTTTGTTTTTTTTAATGCATGTGCTAAATCCTTCAACTTCGTCCACATCGATTTGGGAGCTTTACGGGCCTGGGACATTGTAGCAAGCTTAGGACATCGTAGCAAGCCTTTTTGTCAAGACTTGCCATGACGAGGGCGATGCAGGAGGATAGACATCTCTTTGTCATAGTTTGGTAACATTTTACATGTTTGTAGGTACTTAAATCCAACAAGGAATAAACATGTAAATTTTTAGTCCCATCTCAACCATGAACTAGATCTGCTTCCAGCTACGTGGAAGTCGCAACAGCGGTCCTGAGGTAGCAGTATGGCTGTATCTGTGGTGGCAGCCTGAGGTGAAGGAGGAGTAGCAGAACTCTCTGAGCTCGGGTCAGTGTTTATTATACAAGCCTAGACAGCCACGCAATCCAAATCTAGTCCCTAATACCTACACCTGAAAATCTGCCCAAAAGCTCGAATTCCTAAACCCAGATCAAAAAAAAGGCCCTCAAAAAGAAAGAAAAACATGCAACCCCAAAAACAAAAAGTCCACACCCACACGCTGCTTTTATCTGCGCTTGCCGGCAAGCTCGTCGCTCTCTGTTTCTGCTCCCAGAGTCATACTTGAAGGCTCAAAGGACTTAGTAAGTAAGGTTATAAGTAGGTTATAATTAGGATAACCCCACTTAGGGGACTTATAACCCCAATTATCACCTACTAAGTCCCATGATCCTCTAAGTACCCTCAACTGAAACACCTGAGACCATCCTTAAACCCTTAAACCACAAGATCCTAAGGCAACCCTAAACCCTCAACCCTAAACCCCAAGTCTTAAGGGTTTAGGGCCTAACGCACGTCCGATGACTTGCACAGCCTGTCTTTCCCAGGCCATTCCCGGTGGCTTTGTTCATCCGCGAGGTCTGGCGAGGCCCCACCCGGGCACAGTTTAGGGTCCGGGCTTAGGGTTTAGGGTTCAGGATTTGGAGTTTAGGGTGCAGGGTTGAGGGTTTAGGGTTCAAGGGTTTTGGGACACACCCGCATGCGTGCATACCAAGCCGCTGCCCGCAGAGATACGGTCTGATTAAGAAACCTTGGTCCCTCCAACCGAAATATTAGGATCCGTAAGGGCAGTTCTCTGGAACAGTCTCTCTTTTAGGGTCCTTTTTACAAGGGTGCCGTATTATTTTGGGGACCGCGAACTATCCATATGAAGAGCCCCAACACAGACCCGAGGTACCTTATAATCAGATTCCTAGGTTATCCTCATTCTACACAGGGACGGCAGGCAGCCGGGACTTCGGCCCAGTGCCCGTGATCACTATGCTGAGTGCAGAGCTGTCTAGAGAACGATGGTGTCTCAAGCAACAGCACTGGTGTTCCCGAATATGATACCCATTGTTACTTGGGGGTTTCGCAAAAATTAGGGGTACCTTGTTTTGGGATCCATATAATAAGGATCCTACTATTTGGGGTACTATGTTAGCGTCCCCCATTTTCAGGAGCTCCCATTTGCTTTTGGTACGACTGCGACTGTGTTGGCAGAAGCTGAAACTGTAATTATGGTCCTTCAGCCTCTGTACATGACAGCAAGGCATTGCAGTGGTACTTGTGTATTCAGATCCGCGTGCTTGTGTCAGTTGCTTCCATATGGGAGTTTCCGAAAATAGGGGACCCTAATATAGTACCCAAAATAGTAGGATCCTTATTATAAGGACCCCAAATAAGGGACCCCTACTTTTCGGAAACTCCCATATCGAACGCAACCGCAGTTGAACCGTAAGCATCCTCAAACTTTTGGCACCCTGAACTGCCCAGACCTTCCAAAATCCCTTAATTAAGGAATATACCTTAAACTCTAATAGGATCCCTAATATGAATTTAATAATTAAGGTATATTCCTTAATTAAGGGATTTTGGAAGGTCTGAGTGCACCCCGAACTTTACACACACAGCCGAATACCCGATTTGTTCAGACTTTCTGGTGCAGTTCACATCTTGCACTAGGGGCTTCATATGGAAATGTGTGTCTTCAATCAAGGGGCTGCTTTACAGGGGCCTTTGGTATGAGAATCGCGCCATTGAGTCAGTGAGGGTCTATCGTCCTGTGTCCCTTGCTTGCAAAGCTCACATAGCCCTAAATCTTAAACCCCTACACCCTGAAAACCCTAAACCCTCAAGCCAACCCAAAATGTGTTGTGAAAGCAGGGCTTGTTGGCAGAATCTGCTGACGACGGAAAAAAAGGTTGGCAAACAAAGGTAACTTCAAAACCCCGGCAGGGCAGGGCACAGGGTGGGTGGGGTTCAGGGGTAGGCAGCGCCGGCAGGCACAGAGGGCCAAGGGCAGGGGCAGGTGCAGGGCAGAGGGGGGGAAGGCCAGGGCATGCGCAGGCGCAGGCCAAAGCAGGGCCAGGCTGCAGTTGGCACAGTCAGGACCAAAAGGCAGAGAACCAAAAGTCAAAAATAGCGCCAACCCAAACCCTTCACAACTTCTATAAACCCTGAACCCCTATATCCAAAGTATCCAAAACCCTAAAAGCCCTAAATCCTAAGCCCTAAAAAGCCTAAACCCTAATCCCGAATATAAGTTAGGCGCTCTTCCGATATGGGCAGTTCTCTAAATTAGGGTCCTTTCCAGGTCACCGAAATAGTGCAGCACCCTTTCAAAAAGGACCCCAAAGTGACCTTAATTAGGAGGACTATCCAGAAACCTCAGGGCTTAGGGAAAGACTTGTCCTTTAGATGTTACCGGGCTACCGGCGTGATCTGATGTACGTAATATTCCATGCCGGTAAAGGCTTGATATTGGAGAATGAAGAAGCTATGTCCTAGACCCTATATAAACCGTATTAACCCTACCCTACCTTAACCCTCAAGCACCTACCTTGCTTAAGGCTCCTTCTTATGATTCCCTTATATAAGTCCTGAAAGTGGTAGGTTTACTCCGGGTTAAGGTAAAAACCTCGCATGTCCGCGCAGCACTTGGAAGTCAAGCCAGCCTCCCGTCTGTGTCATGGCCAGCGGAGCCGGTTCAGTGGCCGCTTCCGCGGCGGGCCCGGCACAGGCCTTCGTCGCTTCACCCATCCGCGTTCCAGCGGCTCCCGCCCAGAGGTCCGCAGACCCTAAGCCCAACAGAAACACCAAACTCTAAAATCCTAAGCCCTATATATATACCCAAAACCCCTAAGCTTTCAGACCCTAAACCACTAAAACCTGTAAACCCTCCGAGCCCTGAACCCTAAACCCCCGAACGTGAGCCCTAAACCTTCAAACCCCCACGTCCTTTAAGCCCCTAAACCTATCCTAAACCCTAAACCCTAAACCCTAAACCCCGAAACCCCGAAACCCCTAAACCCCTAAACCCCGAAACCCCGAAACCCCTAAACCCCTAAGCCCCCGAGAGGTCAGGAGCCTCCCAAGCTTCCTCGAGCTCTTCTTCCGCCAGCTCTGGGACCGGCCTCTCCACGGCTGCTGGGATCTTCAGTGGTATACATGGGGTTTATATAGGGCATAGAACGACCCGATTTTCTAGGGGTTGTGGGATTAATAGGGTTTCTGTTGCAGGTCTTTAGGGTTTATGGGAATTTTGAGTTTAATTTACCCTGTTAATTTTGATTTGTTTTTTATTTTCCTGGGTTTCCTGTAATAGTTGCAGAGCATTGTAGTATACTCCCAGAGGACTACAAAACAGCCTAGGCCATGTTCGCCCTGGGCACGGCGGGTGCCGTCGCCGCCCGCAGCCGTGCCCGAAACGGCGCAGCACCCGCGGCCCTCCGAAAGCTCCTCCGTGCCAGCGCCAAGGGCACCAAGCTCTCAGTTCCTGGACTGTTACAGTAAACCCCATAAAGTTGGAAACCGGATTAAGGACAAAAAGTGCTGGGATTCCCTATGCATTACTCTTAAGCATGGAGGCTTTGGGGTTTCCAACTTTCGGCTTCTACCGCAGGTAGTTGTCAAAATTATATGGCCCCTTTGTGGGAACCCTAAATATTAGGTGCCGTACGATATTAAGGACCCCCAAAAAGGGACCCTAATTTTGACAACCACCCTGTTGGGGGTGAGGAGTCTTGGGGTTCAGGGTTTTGGCTTTTGGGGTTTAAAGCTTCAGGGTTTACAGGGAACTCCAGAAAGTTGGAATATGGTTTCATGGTAGGATACCCTATAATTTACCATAGAAGGGCTAGGATAATAATATTTCAACTTTCTGGCTTCTTTTACCTTAAGCCCTCAGTTCCTAGATTGTTTGAGGGCGCCCAGTCATTAAGGACATAAACATAATGAACATTTGGTAAGGATATCCCTCCATTAAAGGGGGGGCCTGTTGTTAGGGTTTAGGAGTTCGGGGTTTAGGCTTTGGGAGTTTGGGGTTTAGGGTTCAGGGGTTCAGTGGCAGGCTTTTCTCACCTCTGTGCTTGTGGTCTTTTAAAACATAAACCTAATCATACCACATAGCCCCAAAGTATTATGTGTATGTATAGATATATAATATACGTATGTATGTGCATACATCCCTTTCATATACGTCTGCTTTCCACACATAAGTAAATACATGACTATGTATACCCTATACCCTAAACCCGTAAACCTACATAAAGTTAACCATGCCGCAACCCCAAAGGATTCTACACATCTATGATGCGTGTGTATACATGTATATGTATGTATGTGCATACACCCCATTTCATATACATCTGCTTTCCATACATAAGTAATACATACATACATATGTATACCCTAAACATCTCTATAACCCTAAATCCCCAAACCCTAAACCCTAAAGATCCCTATAACCCTAAACCCCCAAACCCTAAACCCTAAAGATCCCTAAACATCCCTAAACCCTAAACCCTAAACATCACTAAACCCTAAACCTCTAAACCCACAAGGTCCAGCCGAGCGGTGTGTCGCTCTGCGCCGAGGGCCGGGGCTTCAGCGCTGTGGCCAGGCAGGCGCTGGCCGAGGCACCCGTCAAAACCGGTACCAGCTACTGGGTTCTGAAGCACCAGGGTTTAAGGTTTAGGTGTTTATGCTGGGTTTTTTGTTGATTTTTGAGTCTGTATTCCTTAAGCTATCGGGTTCTGAAGCACCAGGCTTTATGTGTTTTTTTGTTTTTCATTTTCAGTCTGTAGTCCATAAGCTACTGGGTTCTGATGTTTTTGTTTTGTTGGGTTTAGGGTTCTGAAGTATAGGCCATGTGTTCACACTTCTTCGGGGGACCTGTTCACCGGGTTGTGGAGTACCGTACTTGGATGTTGTGTGTGTTTTTTTTTGGAGGGGACCTGTACCTTAATTGAATCATTATGAAGTACAAGTCTGTACTCCTTCAAGGAACCGTTGTGAAATAACAGGCTATATTCCGTAAAGGAACCAAGGAACCCCATTGTGAAACACAAGTCCATATGCCTTCAAGGAATGTCATTCTGAAATAACAGCCTGCTACAGGGGCCTAAGTAATTCCAAACACATTTTGGGGTTTCCTTATTTTAATTTCAGTATAGTTTTCCCCAAATCCCAATTCTACTTCTTAAGGCCCCTACATTGGATACTGCCCCCACTCAGTAACAGTTGGATAGTATTCATAATATAGATATAGTAGGCCCTTAATAGTAGCCCGATTATAGACTGTTACTGTATGGGGGCAGTATCCAACCCCTATATTATATATTTTTCTCCCTGGTTACTTCAAAGCCCAGGCTACGAGGTGGGCCAGAAGCTCCATGGATGCTGGGCTAAATACAAGATCCCAAAAGGTCCTATGTACTGTTACGGGGAATACTTCCCTAAGTCATAATAGTAATTCCTAATATGGAAACCCCACAGTCTACTATACTGGTACATAGGACACTTTGGGGATGAGTATGGCAGTTTAGGGCTTTAGGGTTTAGGGCCCAGGGGTTTGGCAATTAGGCTTTAGGGCTTGAGGATTTAGGGGTTTAGGGCTTTAGGGGTTTAGGGGTTAGGGGTTTAGGATTTAGGGCTTTAGGGCTTTAGGGCTTTAGGGTTTAGGGGTTTAGGATTTAGGGCTTTAGGGCTTTAGGGTTTAGGGGTTTAGGGTTTAGGGCTTTAGGGCTTTTGGGTTTAGGCTTCAGGGTTTAGGGGTTTAGCTCTTTAGGGTATTAGGGTTTAGGATGAGCATTGGCCGGCTATGATTATGATTAATTACGGTCTTGGTCAAAAGTGTAATCATGTACATGGTTGTGATGTCTGGTATGATTACCATGTGCTATCTGCGATCTTTAGCGTTCCTAATTTTGCCACCTTATGAGAACCCATAGGTTCCCATGTCAGGGTTTACGGTTACATTTTATAGGGCCCCTAGACCCTCAACTGAACCCTAGCAGAATCCAGGATGGACTTGCGTCCGCTCTGAGTATGTCAAGGAGTTCAGCTGCAGTGGCTACCTGTTCAAGCACGATAAGATGCTCGGTGGTGTGATGGTTTGATGTTCATGGTCTAGGGCTGTACTCGTAGCTCTTTTTAGGGTTGTGATGCTTTGGGGTGTAGGGTTGTGGCATTGTGGTTTGGTGAGGGTTTGGGCTTTAGGGTGTAGGGTTGTTTTGGGGTTTGGGTGAAGGCACGTTGCCGTGGCTCCCGAGTTCCTAAACCCTAAGTCCTACACTTGGAGCAGGCAAATGTGAATGACAGCTTTTTACTGAATCTGCCAAGGGCCCTGCTTCAGATCTTGATTGATCCTCGTACCATGAATCGAGGTGAACCGTTTGGTAGAGCGAATACTTAGTAATCATCGTCCCGTGGTATGGTGACTTTGTATGTAAAGCATGGTATAGTGTAGCATTCCTCAAGAACGTATCTTATAGTTTCGCAACGACGCTACACGAACTTGGTTACTGCACCAAGAGCAATGACAGTGGGCACACGTGCCGTTGCGAAGTATACGACTAATGATGAAACAGCAGTATAGGGGTTGCGGGTTATGAGTAGGCAGCCTTTTGAACTTCTGGGGTTTATCTGGTCCTATCATAAGAGAAAAAGGGTCCTACGTACCGATATAGTAGAATGTGGGGTTTCCATTTTAGGAATTATATACTATGACTTAGGGAAGTATTCCCCATAACAGTACATAGGACCCTTTGGGATTAAGGTTATCCTTCATCCCCTAGGTTGTGGAGCTTAATGCCTTGAACCTTACCACATGGGAGTTTCCGAAAATTAGGGGTACCTCATTTAGGGGTCCTTATAATAAGGATCCTACTCTTTAGGGTGCTATATTAGGTCCCTTATTTTCGGAAACTCCCACATGTTTGAGAGCTCCTAGCCTGAAATCCCAAAACCTTCTAGGTCCTGGGCCCCCAAGGACCCCTATACCAGTGTGCCCATGCTCTAGACCTCGTACCAAAAATTGACCCCGCAACCCCTGTTTCCCTTGACCCCCACCCCCCTCCCGAAAAAAAGCAAAAACACCAAGCCCTGAACCCTTAGTTTTAGTGTTGGGGCACAGGGGAAGCGAGTAATTTCTGTTCCCGCTTTGCAGTCTTTAGGGTTTGGGGCTCCGTAAAGCCTAAACCCTAAAAGGCCCTAAACCCTTACATAACCCTAAACCCTATTAGCCCAAGACTGTTAACCCTAAACCCTCAACCTTTGACCCTCAACCCTATAAGGGTTAGTAAGTTGCCTGCTCCATAGGAGCTCTCCAACTGTACAGCAGCTGGAAAAAGGTCCTCAAAAAAACGCTATAAGAAGCTCCTCATGGGAACCTCGAAGGACGGGTGCTGAGCTGATGTCCATGGTGCAGCCCGCGGATGAGAACAAGACCTTCAGCGTGGTTTTCCGCACGCCTCCGGAGCCCCTGTAACCCTTCCGAGACCCGACCCTAGAAAACCTTCTTTCCTAGTCCATATTATGATTATAAGTTCTTAGAAAGGTAGGTTATTCGGAGTCCAGGTATATCACGGCTCTTTTCTGGATCGGTAACCTACCTATAACAACACCACAGCAAGCAGGACAAGGTATAACATATGTATCTCAAAGCGTCACAGGACAAAGTTATTTGGATACTTCCACCGTTTCGCAAAAGGGGGCTTATGTGCCCAATACTACAGTAGTTGGCCTCCGAGTGGTTCCTAGATACGTACAGTAGGGCCACAGTAGATGCTATACTATACTATGCAGGTACATGGACCCTTCCTAACCTGAAACACCTTGGGTATTCTTATAGAACCAACCTGTGCTACGGAACCCCTTTTGTGTAAACCTTAGGCAAAGAAACAAGATAAGGTCGGATATTCAGGACCGCATACAGTTTCGTAGTGGAGGTCACCTGGCACGACATAACCCCGCCGGCACCCTACACACGGGGGGAGAACATAACCAGAACTTGTCCGCGACGAGACCCTAAACCATAAACCCTAGACCCTTGGGGGATTTAGGGTTCAGGGTTTCGGGATCTTCTCGCTGTGGAAGACAGACTGGTTCATCAGAAAAACACACATCACCAGACTGGTCCATGCCGAGACGGCCTCAAAATGGTTTAGGGTTTGGGTTTAGGAATCCCACATACCCTGAGCTCTGCCTCAACCCTGCTCCATTCTTACTTGTGCAGTGCTTCACTCCTTATGTTTCCTTGGCCTTTTCGAGAAGAGTCCATGTTTGCGGGTTTTGCGGTACGGTCTAGCATTATAACAATGTCTGAGATTGAGTAGGCGGATAGTGCTACACATGAGTTAGACCTTTCCATAGGAGCCCACTTACCTCTTTCACGATGGGTTACTGTTCCTTCAAGCCCCTACCTGCAGGAATAAGGTGCCCACATGGGAGTTTCCGAAAATAGGGGACCCTCATGACTGTAGAACCCTAATTGTAGGATCCTTATTATAAAGGACCCCAAAACAAGCTACCCCTAATTTTCGGAATCACCCACCTCTCCCAGAAGCCCACTATGTTGGGCTCGTCAGGATGGATTCAACGGGGGTAGGGTGCCTACTTAAAGGCTCATAGGATCCAGTAACTAAGGTCATCAGTAGGTTATAATTAGGATCTTTCTTTTTCACGTGTTTTTCGATTCCTTATTAGGATAACTTCACTTAGGGGACTTATAACCCCAATTACTTACTAAGTCCCATGATCCTGAAAGTGGGGCTCCCTAAAAGAACGTTGGGCAGCACTGGGGAGACTAAGGGGTTCTTGGGTGATACATCTTTTGGTCGCCAGCCTAAACTCTGAACCCTTAAGCGTCCCATGATTTGAGGGCTCTTGGGATGGCGGCCCAGAAAAACCTCCAAGGGCTAGAACCTAGGTACAGCACGGACCTTCTTTCAAACCCCGAAACCTCATGAGAGGCAATAAACCCAGACCCCTAACCCGAAGGCCCATAGTAGTTCCTTTTTGGGATTACCTGATAGGGTTCTACTTATGAAGCACAAAAAGGAACTACTTTGGGGCCTTAGGGTGAGTCGCCCTGAACTGTCAAAAACTCTGCCCCAGTCGCCCTAAGCCCCAATCCGAAACCCCGGAAGGATCTAGAAAGTGGATCCCCTAATTTGGGGCCCTATACTACTAAGGGTACTTTTTGGGAACCCCCGTTAAGGGATCTACTTTTTGGATCCTCCCGGGGTCTGGGAAACCGAAACCCTTGATCTTACCTACCCCTGAACCCGCACTCTGAAACTCAAGTACGAAACCTTGCCTATACCCGCCCGAAATAGGTAAAATAAAACAGCCCAGCACCTATAAACGGCTTGTATTCTACAGACTTTCGGCGTCCGGGTAAGGCACCCCTAAACCCAGAACCCAAATCAATTTCCTTATACCAAAAACCCTAAACTTTTGAACCTAAAACCAACCCTTAGCTTCCCCTAGGATGCCCAGTAGTACCCTTATTCCCTTTTTATAGTCCTAGGTTCCTTATAAAGTTACCCAATACCAAAAAGAGAGGCCTTTTTATTCTTAGGTTACTGGGTAACCTAGTTCCACGTGCAGGAGAATTCGAACGGTATCGCTCATGTCCTCGAGCACTCGGTGCTTTGTGGCAGCCGCAAGTACCCACTGAAGGCATCCCATCGCCCAGAGTATAATACTATACCTATAGTCTCCATTGTGGTTTCTTTTTTTGGTTAGCCAAAATCTCTATTATAGGGTCCTAACCATAAAACTGGTTAACGCAAAAAAGGAACTACAACGGAGACTCCAGGTAAGGTACTGTAAGATAGTATGGAATACTCTAATCTATTAATGTGTACACACATGTACGGTAAGATGCGAAAGTATACTATAATGTAATGGACCATATTTGCCAGAATAAGATACTATAAGATACTGTTGAAGCTATAATATACTATATGCGAAATTATACTATAATGTACTATGGTGTACCATCGTACCTTACTGTACGATCTTAGCATATGACATACATCAAAAACATGCTGTAACAACAACGCAGGGTTTCAGCATCTTGGAGTTTCGGGATTCTTGGGGTTCGGGTTGAAGGGTTTCGACCCTAAACCCTAAACCCTAAACCTTAAACCATAAACCCTAAACCCCTAAACCTTAAACCCTGAACCCTAAACCCTAATCCCCAAGAGTTTCGGATTTGGAGTTGACGTGCTTCTCGGTCAGGGGTTAAGTTGGGTTCAGGGGCGACCGGCGCTTCCCAGGCATCCTTTAATAGAGTCCTTCTGGCCCGTAATGGTGGGTATTTGGGGTATGTTAGAGGGTAGTTGGGGGGTCTAGGAAGGTTGTAGGCTTTTAAGCTGGGGTTTATGGTCGCTGTGATGACCCGGCATCAGGCTTCGCGATGGAAGAAATTAAGCAGTGAGCAACTTTAGACGGCCTGGTTTTGGGAGGTACTAGAATCCGCGTCTGAAAGGTTTCAGGTTTCTGTTGAGTTTGTTGTTGGAGGGTCGGGCTTGAAGAAATTGACGCTGCTGGGTGTTGCAGACGGAGTGCCATTATTCCACAGACTCTCCACACATTGTGAAGGTTAACGGTTCAAGGTTTCGAATGTGGATTATACAATGTTATAGGAATTCAGTACTTCTGGTTTTTGTCCCTGAAAGGAGCCTTTGAATGAAACTAGAGAGGCAGGGTTTTGGGTGTATTGTCGTATGACCATATGTAGATAGCCCTGAGGAGAATTACCGGTAAGTATTCAGAGCCCCTGCACCCTAAACCCACACGCTGAACCCTACACCCTAAACCCGTATACACCCTAAACCCTAAACCCTACACCCTAAACCCTACACCCTAAACCCTAAACCGCCCTTGCAAGCCTCATATCTGAACCCCAAACCCCACCTAAGAAGCCCGGGTTTGTTGTTTCCAAACTACCTTAACCCACCAAAACCTACTTTTTTGTAGAGTCCCGGCAAATTCCATATTAAGGTGTATATTAAGACCCTACAAAAAAGTAGGGTTTGGTAGGCTAAGGTAGCACCTTGCTTTCATCAGCCAAAGCCCTGCGCCCTAGTAGGCGCTATATGGGTGCACTATAGTGGTACTTTCAGGGTGCCATGCGGAGTAAAGGGTTGCAACCCACCGGCTAAAACAAAACCTAAAGGATCTAATCCAGAAGTCCATGCGCCCCAGCCCTGCACTCTAAAGCCAGAACGTGACTCGTGAAATCTCTGAGCCCGAAAACTGCAGAACCCTCCACCCTAAAACCCGAAGCCCTAAACCCTAAAGCCCAAACCTAGAGCCAAAACCGTCAACTCCTTAAACCCCTAAGCCAAAAATCGTTAACCCCTAAACCCCCATATGCACTCTAAGCCATACGGCCCCAACCAGGAGCCCTTCGTGGAACTCATGAAGTCAAGCCTCCAGACCTTCCTGAACGCCTCCTTGCTGCAAGAGAGGGAGCTGATATCTTAGAGTTTAGGGGTTAGGGGTTTAGGGGTTAGGGTTTAGGGTTTAGGCTTATAGGGGTTAAGGGTTACAGGGGTTTAGGCTTTAGGGTTTAGGGTTTAGGTTTGGGGGTTTAGGGTTGAGGGTTGTAGGGTTCTAGGGCTGGGGGGTTTAGGGTTTAGGCTTTGGGGTGGGGGTCGGAATAGATAGAACAACATAGGATATGGGGAGATTGGGTTTAGGGGGGGGAGGCGGTCGGGACTGAGGCCCTGAGTGACAAGCATTCTGGATGCTGAGCAGCGCCTACACCCTGAACTGCTATACCCCATTGACAAGCAGTAGAGCTTCCTGCAAAGTGGAGGGTGTAATTCACGGCTCAGGTGCTTCCACCCTAGACAAGTTTTGACTTACCATCTCTGTGGTGATGAGTTTTGCCTGGGGTTAAGGATTTGTAGGGTTGGGATGAGCGCGGGGTTTCGGGTGTTAAAGTTTGGCAACCAGGTACTGCCACATTCAGAATTGCGCAACAAGGAATCTTCCTTAAGCGGTTGTCGGCTTATTGGGTCTCCTCATAAGTATAAGCGTTTCAGAACATACCTGACCCCAGTATGGCAACCCGTCCGAGCAGCAAGATCCTCATACCTCCATAAGACAAGGTACCCCCACTTCTCAGGAACCGCCATAGTGTAGATTTGGACTCTTTTTGGGCATCTTCTGCACCACGTGCGGTTTCGGGTGAGGTGTAGGGTTGGGCGAGGTTTTTGCAAATGCGCCCGACTTGACTGCAAGCATGTGGTCTGGAGGAAAGGCAAGGCGGAGCTTGTAACGATAATTCAAACCAGGATCGAAAGCTGATGTGATAGAGGCGGTATGTAATGGAGGGCGTGTTGTCCGTACCATGTGGACACTCCCAACCCGACCCAACGTGATACATATATATATATATATATATATATATACACACACATGTGTGTGTATGTGGGGGGATGCTATAGTACACATACACACATACATTCAAACCTGCATACATGAGTACTTAAGCGCAATAAGGAACAAATATGTACATGTTTAATCCAATCCCAACCATGAACTAGGTAGGGCCTTCGTCGCTCCGGGGTTCACAGGCCATGACCTTCCCAGACCGAACCTGCTACCCAGTGGCCAGCTGCAATCTCAAGGACTTCCGTTTTGGTGACCCCGCTTTTGGGTGAGTAGTAGGGTTTAAGGTTTTGGGTGTAGGGTTTCAGGTTTAGGGCTTATAGGTTTAAGGCTTAGCGTCTAGGGTTAGTTGCAGGATTTGGGGGGGTGTAGGGCCAATCTGAAGAGCTTGTTTGATATTTCAAGTCCTTTCTGGGTGTTGTAGGACGGCTAGGGGGCTGCAGACTTTGGGCGGTGTTCGACGAGCTTTCGGTTTTCAGGCTCTTTGGTGTCTAATTACCGGGTTCGGGACGGGCTGAGGGTTTAGAGTCTAGAGGTTTTGGAGTTGGAGGGTTTTGCTTGACCAGCCGTGTCTTTTGGGGATGTGTTCGGGGTTTAAGAGTTGAGGTTTTCTCGTGCGGAGGGGGAGTTTGGCCGTCAGGGTTCTTCGGATAAGTTGACGGAGTACTTGCAGGCCAGTGGTTGGCTTTATTGTTGAGTAGCTGTCAAAATTATGGTCCCTTTTGGGGCCCTTAATTATTCTAATACGGCACCTAATATTTAAGGTACCCAACAAAGGGACACCAATTTTGACAACTACCGGGTTGGGCGTGTGGCTGTCCGTCACCGTTCTGTCTTGGGCAGTTGGCTTGGTGTTTAGACTGCCTGTCCCCAGGGTTACCCAGAGAGCCCAATACCCCTTAATTAAGGAATATGGCTTAAATTATATAGGGCTTCATATTATGATTTAAGCTATATTCCTTATTTAAGGGGTATTGGGCTCTCTGGTTAGAGCCCGAAAGGAACCCTTTGCAATTCGCATACCGGAGCTTCTCAGCCGGACGGGACACCGATCCGACGGTGCTGAACCCTAGCCCGAAACCCCAAGCCCGAGACCCTACAACTTTAGCCCTAAACCCCCTAAACCCTAAACCCTGAGCCCGAAACCCTAAACCATAAGCCCTAAACCCCAAACCCTAAGCGCCAAACCCGAAGCCTTAAGCCCTAAATTCCAAGCCCTAAACCCTAAACCCTAAACCCAAAGCCCTAAATCCCAAACCCTAAACCCTATTGAAGGACTTCTACAACCTCATCGATGTCTATCTGGATGCAGTGCCCCGGAAATCACTGATGCGGGGCCTGGTTTGGAGTTCAGTAGGGTTCAGGGGTTTAGGGTTAGGGAAAAGCCTGCCCTAAAAGGGGTCATAATAAAGATCCGAGTATATAGGAAGGTCGTAGAAGAAAGGCCGTGATTCAATCAAGGGTCTGCATTACGGTGAATTGCTTATCATTTCGCGTGCAGAGTATGATTCTGCTGTACAGTGTTGTGGTATGGCAGGCCTACATAGGGCAGTTTCCGAAAATTAGGGGTACCTTATTTGGGGGTCCTTATTATAAGGATCCTACCATTTGGGGTACTATATTAAGGTCCCCTATTTTGGGAAACTCCCATATAGCGCAGCTTCGGTCTAACCAAGCCCCCACCATCTACGACCTTCAATGAACCGCTCGTAGGGTCTCTGAAAGCCAGTGCCCTGAAACCCCGAATGGAGCCTAATATAGGGCCTTATAATAATTACCTACACTATTTTGGGGGTTCCTTATGATGGTTACACTGTTGATGATATAAATCCTGCATTACCCATAATAAGGAGTATACCACAATCCCCATAGTTTAGGGTCCTTAAGGTAATGTAGGATTTATATCATCCACCGTAGTATAATATACCCCAAAAGCCTATTCTAATTGTTAAGGCCCCTATATTAATGGACCTGAAGCTCTGAGCTCTTGGCAATTGCAACTGCATTCCCTACATGAAGGCCTGAGCACTTGGCAATCTATAGGACCGAGAGTAGGCCCTTATTCCCTTTTTGTAAGGACCCCATTGTAAGGTCCCTGTAGGCATAGGGTAAACCCCTACACCCCTAAACCCTAAACCCTATAGATCCCTATAACCCAAAACCCCTAAACTCCTAAACCTTAAGCATCCCTAAACCCCAACAACCACCCATGTGTATCGCCCATGCCAAAAGCCATTCGCTCACTTCGAGGTCTTCCATCCCCGTGCCATCAACGACCCCCGGGTGCTGGCCCAGGAAGGATGGCACTATGAGGCCGATTTAGGGGTGCTAGCTTTAGGGTTTAGAGGTTCCCCTTCCGGGTTTAGGGATTATAGGTCACGTTCAGGGTTCAGGGTTTAGGTGTTCGATTAGAAGGCCAGCCTCGGGAGTAGGGGTCCTGCATGATCTTGGCTTTGATTTTGGGGTCTTACGTTCTGTTCCCCTGTTTTCTGAATGGGATGCTTTAAGTACCTAAGATTCGGAGCAGCAAAGGCCTTGCATTGCTTGTCTAGGTTGCAGACGATGGTAGAGTCAGTGCAGTTTGGGTTTAGGGTTAAGGCTTAAGGAGTCAAAGGGTAAGCGTTTAGGTAGTTCGTTGCGACTTGTTAGGCTTCTCCTACTCCACGGACATACAAACTAATGCCCCAAACCCTCATAGCAGGTGGAGAAGAAGGACGAGCCCTTGAAGTACAAGGGCGTCGTGTTCAATGAGATGAGCTTTGGCTTTTACCTTTGTTAGGGTTTAGGGGGTTGGGGGTTTAGGGTTTAGCGTGCCGAAGCCCTAAGACATGAACTCCACAGCTTAAGGCCCGTCTGAAGCGTGGGGGAGGGGTGGAGAAGAGGCCCGTATGCCAGCACAATTGAAGCCCGGTCAGTGTGCCAGCATCGTTGGGGTAAATGCGTTTGTGCTTTTTATGGTTTCGTGTGATCTGGTTTAGGGCCTTTGGGGCTTTAGGGTTTGGGGCGTAGGGCGTGTATGGGCATGATACTCCATGAACAAGTTGGCGCGGTAACCAGTCAATGTGCCGCAGCATGCATGCAGGCTCCTCACCCTTGGTGCAAAAGAAAAACTTACATGTCGGCCTCGATGCGAGGTACTGTGCGGGCCGAAATACTTACCAAACTTGTGTTGGGATTGTTAATTGAATTATTGTAACCTAAACCCTAAACCCTACCGTGGAGAGCACCCACACCTGAGAGGACTGAAAGGTCAGATCGTAATCATGATAATGGCCGCCGTAGACTCAGTGGTGGAACACCAATGAGCAGTGATACGGACGATTAGTCTGACTGGCAGTAGGACTTCCAAGTTTGCATCTTGTGATATTTGGCTCCTTTATGATTGGCGCTGATTGAATTCCTTGGAAGTCCAAAGTGGCAATACCTGAAGCCTATAGGTCAAAGCTTTCTATCTGGTTATTCTGGACCTCGTACTGATGAACCATGCCTTAATCCGAAGTGGGCTTCAGGGTTTCCAATTTGAGAGGGTTGTGGGCCGCCAGACCATGTGTTGTTACATAATCTGTTTGAAGCTTCCTTCCTTGGGTCCCTTTATTCTGCTTCAAATCAGTTAGGCGGCCACAACCTCGGATGCCAGTCTTTGAACAGAAAGGGTTGAGAGCGGAGACCATATGAAACTGTATTTGTCGGCCAGCCTCTGATTCTTAGACTCTCACTTACAGGTTGTCTAATCGGTCAGTCTGTTTATTCCGGTTGGCGAGGAAGGTCAGTTATTGTAGTTGTCTGAGACGTGTCATTTCTTCGGGACTGGAGGTCCTGTAAAGGAGCTGTGCACAGAAGTGCTCCTCTTTTGAGGGCTGGATCCTGGTGGTAGTAGCTTTGAATGGTTAGTGATTGTGGTGTTCCCAGGGTCCTGCCCACTGGCTCCCTCACATTGGGGTTTCGAATGCCTGGACAGACGGAAAAGAGCCCATAAAAAAAAAAAAAAACCCTAAACCATGGTATAAGATTCATCAAAACCCTAGTTTTACTTGTATCATGAAGGCCCCTACAGTACCTGATGACCAGGTCTTGAGCCCAATAATCCCTTCCCCCTAATATTAAAGCCCCCCCCTCCCTAATATAAAAACTGGATTTCGCAGGTTTAGTTTTTATGTTAGGGGGGGTTTCGGTGCATCCACGTACCCGGACTCCCAGCTGCTAGCTATCCTAAGCCTGGAGCCCTGAGGCCCTACTAAAGCCCTAAGCCTTAAACCTCGAGCCCCAAACCCTAAAGGCCTGAGCCCTAAACTTTAAGCCCTAAAGCCCTGAGCCCTAAAGCTTCAGCCCTGAGCCCTAAACCCTTGAACCCTAAAGCTCTGCTGTCTTTAGTACTGCTGTAATTTTTGGCTCTATAGAGCCCTGAGCCCTAAACTTTAAGCCCTAAAGCCCCGAGCCCTAAAGCCCCGAGCCCTAAAGCTTTAGCCCTGAGCCCTAAACCCTTAAACCCTAAAGCTCTGCTGTCTGTAGTACTACTGTAGTCTTCGTGTAAATTAAAACACATACAGATCTAGCACCCCCCCTAATGTTGTCCCTTTTAAATTGAATGTGGGGCCCGAAACCGCGAAATTCCGGAGGTCGGAAGTTTGTATATCGGGGGGGTTTAACTGTTAGGGGGAAGGGATTATCCTGATCTACTGCTAACGGTACCGTCGGCTCTCTATATCAGAGTTTCCGAAATTAAGGGTGCCTTGCATCGGTGTCCGCATCATACGGATCCTACACTTTAAAGTGCTATATCTATAGGGCCCCCTTATTTCGAATCACCTACATGCTGCGTGGGTGGCAGGGAGCCGGGTTCGAAGTATATAGAGCCTGGGACTCTGAGTTGTCGGTGAAGAAAGTAGGCTTCAATGCTCCTGGACCTATAGACCCTAAACTAGGACCTAGAGCAGGCCCTTGTTCCCTTCTTTGGGGTTCAGGTTCCCTTATAAGCACCTTTAAAGCAAAAAGGGCACTCTTTTTATTCCTAGGTTCTCTTGGGCCCAGTAAAACCTACACCCTAAAACTCGAAACTCGAAGAACTATTATCCGAGGAAGGGTGTCTACTCCAACCCGGATGCTGCGCACGGTCGGCTGGCCAACATGTCCATGTTTCCGGACACGCAGTCACTTGGATCAGCTTTGGCCCTGCCTGTGGGTTTAGGGTTTAGATTGCTTAGGCCTTTCTGTGGTTTGGGGTCTAAGCTTAGACATTTGTGGTCTGCCATCTTGGGGTGACAGCGTAGGCTTTGGATCGAGTGACACAAAATCCAAAAGACTACAACCCCGGACACTGTTTCCTAAACAACTCCTAACCCTTGACTTGGGCAGCTATATCCTAAACTCTATGTCCTACACCAATCAACACCCTAGACCCTATGGATTTACGAAAATTTAGAGAAATCACAGGCACATAACAGTAAATTAGCATGAAACCCTACACGTTCTAAAGCCTAAAACCCTGAACGATTATGCTCAGACCTCAACACACCAAAAGCCCCGAACCCTTAAACACCGTATTTATGCTTGTTCTTGCCTTGAGTGTAGGAGCCCCGCGCAGCACCCAAAGTGAGAAATCCTGCAATGAAGGGCTTCTGGAATCTCAACCTTGCAAAATCCCTGACTGGGACGCCCAGTAGCAGCCTTATTCGCTTTTTGTAGTCCCAGGTTCTTACAAAGGTACCCAATACCAGAAAGGGAGCCCTGTAACTTTCCATTCCTAGCTTACTAGGCATCCTGGCTGATATGCCTTCAGCCCTTCAAGCGAAAGAGGGTTTAGGGTTGAGACCTTAAGGCTTCCGGGAGTAAGCCCATTGTCAAGCTCAAGAGAAATTCTCTGAAACTGCAAAACAGACTCTAGAGAAACGCCACTCTCAAACCACATATGGCCGTTATTTAGCAGAAGCACCCTTCTCAACCCCCCGGAAAGTGTAAGTTCTCCCTGCGACCCCACGGTAGACCCCTACTATGCCGGCCTTAATATTTGGAATAGGGTTTTGGGGCCATTATACTATAACTGTAATCAGGGGCCCCCCAAAATAGCGTGGTACTGTTGATGGACAAAATCCTGCACTACCCATTATAAGGAATATACCATAGTTCCCATAGTTTAGAGTCCTTAGGGTCATGCAGGATTTTGTCCATCAGCAGTATCACCCCACTGAAAACCACCCTATACCCTTATAGAAACCCTATAGATCCCTTTAAAGGGGCCCTTAAAGGAACCCTTATACTTATAACCACTCAACAGTAGTTCTGAAAGTAGCCGCAAGGTATGGCGTGGACTCCGGCGGTGACCCGAGGGAGATTCCGAACCTGACCTTTGACTACTTCAAGAATTTCCATGGCAAGCTCCTTCGACTAGGGTTGAGGGTTTAGGGTAGTCTTTAAGGGATTAGGGTTTAGGGTAGTCTTTAAGGGATTAGGGTTTAGGGTAGTCTTTAAGGGATTAGGGTTTAGGGTAGTCTTTAAGGGATTAGGGTTTAGGGTAGTCTTTAGGGGCTACTTCGAGGAGTAAGGCCCTAGTCACGAGTCTTTTTCGGGACTAGAGTTTAGGGTTTAGGGTAGCTTTTGAGGGTTTAGGGTTTGGGGTAATCTATAAGGGACTAGGGTTTAGGGTTTAGGGTAGCCTTTGCGGGACTAGGGTTTAGGGTTTAGGGTAGTCTTTAAGGGACTACGGTTTAGGGTAGTCTTTAAGGGCCTAGGGTTTAGGGTTTAGGGTATTCTATAAGGGACTAGGGTTTAGGGCTTGAAAGTGTCAACAACTGGTGGTCTTCGGGGATCGAGCGTCGGATGTGATAACAGTCAGCTCGCAGCGGGGTCACAATGGCTCGGTATCTACGGAGCTACAAAGACCCTCTGCAAACCGGGGCGCCTGTTTTGATCCACATCGCCAGCTGTAGGCACGACGTTCCTGCAAGGAGACAGAGGGCCAGAGTTCGTTGAACTTTCATGCCCCCCTCTCCTCTTGGAGAAGATTGATGGAGCTCTTAGGCTCCAAAGCTGCTTGATCACTCCCCTGATCACAACTCTTAACTTTAGATCTCTTGCTAGGCTGCTCGAGCGGTAGCAATCCGAGTTCCTTCCTCCGCCATGCCGACATCATCGATTCGTCCTCCACCAACCGCCACTTGTGACCCATACGGTAGTAGAGGTCGTACTCGCGTTGGCCTCCGCTCTTCGTGAGCGTGTTGGCCAGTTGGGCTTCACTATGCACCCATCTCACCTGCACATTCGTGCAAGCCTGAGCTTCCTTCAGGGCCAGCATCTCGATGCTCGTCCTCTTCTCTGCTCCCTTGATCACCATCACCTCGGTCTCTAGCTTGTCGTAGACGTTACGGCTGTCCGTGACAACCGTTCCCGCTGTCAGCTTCACGGTTTCGTCCGGCCTGTGTAAGTCAGGCCGTCCATGAAGCATTTCGCTCCATTGGAATCTGGTGGAGAAGAGCTGGTCCTCTCCATTCACTGCCGCCTGAGCCTCTGCTGCGCCAGGCGACCTGCAGCTCCGGTCGATTTTCTGTGAGTGCCAACTCACAGGACTCACATCGCACACATCGCCCTGCATGATGTTCTCGGTGGTTGCTCCCACGAAGATGCCCTGGGTCGAACCCCCGTCGATACGGTTGCTATTTGCAGCGTCCACCCAGGCCACAAACATCACCTTGGAGTCGGAGGGCAGGGCATGGATCTTCATCTTGTAGCTCTGCTTGAGCTTCGCATGGGCGAGCAACGTGTTCGCCCGGATCATCGTGTCCACGCAGCTCTTCGTTACCTCGGTTAAGAGCAACCCTACTTCGGCCGCGAGGTAAGGAGCGACCTGCTGGGCGTGCCAACTCAAACCTCCTAGCAAGGCGCGCAATTGAGATTTCTCTCGGTCGCTCGTAGGATCCTGGGGGTTCTTTCTTCTAGAAGCGTTCACTCCTATCTCGCTCAGGTTCTCTAAGTAGCTTGGTTGAGACAACTCGAACCCTGACTCCGTTTGTTCTATCACAACCCCACACTGAGTGAACTTCCCTTCCTCCCAGTCACCCCACTTGAAATGCTCCTTAATGGCCCTTAACTTCGACTCCCACAGTTCATCCCCGGCCTGGCCTCCAAACAGAAAATCATCCACGTGACCACTGATGATTCCTCTCAGAACCCCTTTTTCTCGCAGTGCCCAACAGCATGAGTCTGACCACAGACGCTCAAAGCCTAGTTGCCGCAAGAACTCATCAACTGACCTGTACCATTCCAATGGAGCATCAACTAAGCCGTAGCAAGCTTGCTGGACTCTTGTCACGCT